CTGAACGGCACTGCAACGGTTATGGACAGGCGTGTCGTTTACCACCAGGCGTACGACTTGTTCGTCCCGTCACCTGGTGTCACAAAAAAATACTTAAACTGCAAATTAATTCGTATAAAAACAGTAACTACAAAAACACGCCATTTTTTTCTGCTTTTTGCTATTTTACAATAATTGGACTCTTCAGTTGTAAAATAAACAGCTAATGAATATTTAACATGATGATTATTATTTTAACTACCGATGACCAGTCGCGTCTGTGACCTTTCGGGGACATCATCACAGATCCTTCCTTATGTGGCCAGCCAGAGCATACCGCGGATATGTTACATGGCCACGATTGGCTTGCGTGTGCGCCGGCTAAGCATTGACATACTGCACTTAACACATATTTTCTTAATAAAACCTTGGACCATCAACATCCATTCTATACAGGGTGTAGCGAAAACTGTGGACGTATTTATTTCAGGTGGGGTTACAGTTAAAGGCACATGTATCCGTACATCAACATCGCCAGATAGTTAAAACCATATTTTAATTATTTTCTAGTACATGCTCTTCCTTCGCTTTATTTTTTCAAAAACGTTCACCACTTTTGTTCACACCCATTCTAAAGGCAAGACGTATAATGATTTTAGAGCTAAAACTACGTTCATTAGTAAAAACATTTTTATAATGACGTCAAAAATTTACAGCAGATTACCGAAAGTATTAAGGTGTCAGAATAACTTTAAGATATTTAAAAAGCAATTAAACCCATTTTTTAACGATCAAAATTTATTTTACAGTATCCGAATTAAATAATAACCATACAACGTCATTTGCCGTTGTTCAAATACTAACATTGTGCTCGTTCTTATTTTTGTTTTTAATTAATTAGGCGTCTAGGTACACTTCACAATCATTATTAATATTAACTCAAATCCTTATTATCACAGCTTTTAAATTATTGACTGATCTATTAAAATCATAAACACACGTGATTTATTAAAGAAATGTGATATAGCTTCAATCTCCTGATTATTATTTAGTACGTGTTACTTGATACAGCCTAACTACCTCGCAGCGCTATACTGCCCTCCATCTGCCCTCCTTGTCATAAAAAACGCATTTGCATTTCGGTAAAATATTGGCAACTAAAGTTCTTTTCTTTGAAAAATGTCAGCTACGCTGATTTCGCTTAACAGTAAGGCTGCCTTTCCACCAGAGCTGTGCGACGTAGCGAAGCAGTGTGCGAGGAAAAAATTCACCAATAGGATTACTCTATTTTCCTAGCCTTTTTTGGCGCAGCTCCGGTGGAAAAGTGTTAGCGGAGCTAAGTATTTGTACATACAAAATAGCGAGAAATATGTATTTGCGAGAGACGAGGGCGAGGAATGTGTGCAAAACGGTGTAAGGAAGTTAGAGCTACTGAAAGTATGACACTAACTAACAGTGATATATCGCCACCGCTCACCCCACCACACCGTATCCCGCCCGCGGATAGCTCAAAAGAGTTCGTAACGCATCCTCGCACAGTTTTGGTGGAAAACGACCTAGGTAACAGCGTAACAGCGTAACGCCTCGCTACCTCGCACATCTCTGGTGGAAAGGCAGCCTTAAACAGAAAATAAATAAAATATTAAAAAATCGCTTATGGGGGTAGAAGATTTTCGCTGTTTCAGACATGTTCATATCTAAATATCGCTACAAATTTTAAATTACAGGCACATGAGATTTGTCAACTTATGTCTCAGGGTGACGGGCGCAGAGGCAGTGCCCCTCAGGTCTTTGCAATTTAAAGCTCGTGAATGGCACTGCAACTGTTATAGACAGGCGTGTAGCTTACCGTCAGGCGCGTCGTGCGCGTTCTTCGTCCCGTCACTTGATATTATATAAAAAAATGTCGATTACGTTTTTATGATAAGAACGGCAGTATACCTCTATTACCAATATCATTAACAACAACTTTTATTGATTCATGTATTTATACAAAACATTACATTACAAATTTTAAGTGTTTGTTCTACTAACACTTTTTAGATCTGTATCAAATAACCCCCGCTTCTGCGTTTTGCCTCGGACGGGCACTACTAGCGCTTTCTTGTATTACCTGCTGCACAGAGTTATCACCGTTAAAGATCTATTTAAAAAAGTATGTGTGAAAGTGAAATCTGACGAATTATCAAAGGTCATGGAACAAAAATTGTTGTTTATGATGTTAGTAATATAGTCCTGTGAGGCTTTTAGTTAATATTTTACAAGGAATCCTGTATACAACCTGTATTTCCACTAATAAAATAATTATAAGTATAAATACGTTAAAGATACTAAAACTACTTTTATTCAACGTAAAAGCGGAAAACAAATGTACGTTATCTATACAAATTGTTCGCGCTGAATCAAACGAACCATTTTCCCCTTTATGTCTACATATGTCTACTTATATAAATTATTATTGTGGCCCGTCGAAAGTTAATTCAGTATTTCACGCATCAATACATCTACTACTTACGATTTAATATATGCTGTAAAGGTAATAAAAAACTACATATTGGTACTTGATAGTTTTCCAAGGCTTAATAATAAAATTTTCTTTTTAAGATAATAATAATAATAAGGCAATAAAGAACATACGCTAAACTATGAGGTTTTAAATAATAAGTTTTATGAAAAGTTAGATTTCGTGGTGAACATTTCAATTGTACAATAATGTACTTATCACTTATGTACGTATCATTTACTATGATTGCTAATTGGATTCGCATTTCAGTGGATATCTACATAACATGACCCTAACTTATTACGGAAACGTTTTTTCACATCACTAGCGGAAAGGATTTCTTTCTCATTAGGAACCAGCGGCAGCGCACAAAAGCGTTTTTGAAATTCGAACTTGACGATGGACTATGCACCTAAAAAACATAATCACACGTTCAAATACGCGATTTGTTGTACATTATTTCTTAGAATAATAACGCATAGAATTATAGTTTCGACGAACTGTCACAAGTGAGGCAATAATCAAATTCATGTAGGCTAGTTTTAGTAGTAGGTAAATTTTCGGTTTTAGTGAATATTTATAAAAATACAAGTTGAAACGCGTTACTTCCTTGTAGAATGTGATGTTAGTAGGTATCTATTTTATGTTTGTCTGACGTATTTTTACACTCATTTACCACACATTTTGTCATTATTAGTTAAAAATCTTGAGCTGTTCGCAGTGCAAGT